ATTCAAGCAAATGTCACTGCCATACACAGTTCTTAAAATTTATGATACCATCTATAAAATAGCATTTTAGTATGAACGCCTAAGGGAAGATGAATATGTCATCATAATGACACACCAACCAAATTTTTGAAGCGTTCTAAAATAGATGTTTTCTTTGTCAGGCAAGACAGTGATTTACTTAATCTTTGCTCCACATTATAAGCCACAGAAGATTATATTCAGCAGTAGCATTTAGTAAATCCCGCAAACTGCTTTTCATGCTTTGGTGAAAAACCACTAGCTCATGTTTTTCCAGAGTTTCTTGTTCATTTTGAATATTATCTCTATATTCATAAATCTAATATTAGTATATAGACTAATGTTTTCAGTTTCAGGAAAATTGAAATGTGTATTTGCGCAGTCTAACATTAGCTCACAGATTTAGGTCAGGAGCCGTGACTTAGGAAACATTGTTTGTAGGTATTGCGTGGAGCAAGGTAAGCTCCTTCACAGAATGCTTCAGAGCAGGTAGTAAAATCCTGCCTCTGTCCATTGGCTGAGCAGGGAATCTGAAGTTAGATGGTGTGTTCACAATCATTCACACATTTTTATTCATCTGTGTTTGTTCTTAATTCATTTTACCATACAAAATTATTGTGTGCAATAATTGAATAGCAGGACTTTCTAAGATAGTTTGCTGCTAGTGTTGGCTTGAGAATTTAACCCCTACCTACCAAGTTCTTGGGCTTTCCTAACCACTTGTTCGCAGAGGATCTGGGGCTCTGATGGGTCAATCAGAAAAGTATCCTAACATGTCTAGTATGAACATGTACAGTAAATTGCATAGAGCATTCTGCTTTTTGCTTCTGCACTTCTGCTTCGCTGCTGGGATTTGTTGGTTGGTTGGATTTTAGTACTCTGTAATTTGGGAAGGAGGAAGATCCTTGTGATCTAATAGCAATCAGATTCAAGGGGCATTTTGCTAAATAATTCTGCTGCTAGCAAAATGAATCCCTGATTGCAGAACAAGGCAGCAGATAAGCTGTCAGGTTCTTTTGAAAACTTAAACGAGTGCTGTGGAAGCATGAAGCTGCAGTTAGGTAGTATATGAATACATTAATACCAGTTTAAGTAATGTGGATTAACTAATTTATTTTCTCCCCAGTAGACTATATTTCCAAATACTAACAGTGTTTCCTCATGTGTTTGTTGAAATGAGGATGGCACCCTTATGCAAAAAGTTCAACGTACAGCGTACATAGTCCTAAAACATTGGGGGATCCCTCTCTAATCAGTAGGAGAGAACATCATCCACAGCTTTCACTGGAGATAGTTATGAAGTATGAAGTTGTCGGTTTGTTTGTTATGAGTTTCTAATTCCTACTCCTTCTTCCCTGTTGTGGCTTGCTGCCACATTCAGGTGATTGATGTTGCTGCCCGTCTTATCTGGGGAGCATACAGTCACGTTTCGGGTAATATAAACCCAGGAAGTACGAAGACTGTCGTATAATTATTATTACTATGCCACTTTCGGCCAAGTTCAAAGATCAAAGTTGTAAAAGCAGGCATACTTGTGGATGCTTAACTAAAGCTTGTGTGTCTTTGTCTTCTGGCCAGCAAAGATAGATGGTTATTAGTAGGCAACAGTTGGTATTTTTTTGTTAATGATAGATAAGCTATATATAATGTCACTAAACGTTCTACTTCGATATTCAGGAAGAGGGATCCTGATTTTGTTTGGACATTGTATTACTAGGGAATAATGAAGCTCAATTTTGATTGACTTTGCAAGCTTTGGAAGGAAAGAGACATATGGCAAGCAAGTATGTTTTAGTTTAAATTTTGCTTCTTTCAATATAGATACTAAGGACATTTTCTAAAAAGAACATTGGTATTTTGTAGTTTTTAATCTCTGTACTAAATTGAAATTTTAGAAAGCCTCTTTTTCTGAAAGCAAAGTATGTAAGACAGGAATACAACAATATGTGTACTTCTGCTGTCTTTGGAAATACCTTGCAGAAAAAATGTTCCTGTTATTTTGTTGACTGGGGGGAAGAGTGTTTTTCACAGAGATTAGAAAAAAATACTGTGCTTACTATAATACCTCTCAGGAGATTGCTGGTAAAACAACAAAGGTTCCTCAGGAACCTTTATCTGAAAAATAAATCTGTGCAGACAACTTATTTCAGCAGCAGATGTCCTTTGCTAAGCTTTACAAATTAGGGGCAGTTCTGTGGGGAATCCCTAGATCCAGTCTTCCACATGTTGTAGTCAATAATTGTTATGGACGACAAATTGTGACTTTTATCTCTAGTTTTCAGTAGTCATTCTGTTTGATGAAAAAGAAATAATTCTGTTTATTAATTTAAGCAATTGAATCAATACATTTGTTGAATGTCTGCTATTAGCTTATCATAAATAACTGAAATTTGTTCATTGCAAACACATTTGTAAATATTATATATAGTCTTACAAACCTTAAATGAAAAATCTATCTGGGATTTTCTGTTAGGATATTTTGTTTGATTTTATTTTAGTTATTTTTCTTTCTTTCTTTAACAAACAGCAAGTTAGAAAATATAAATCAGATTTTGCATGTATTGCCTTGATCTATTGCCATAGCAGAGTGAACTAATGGAAATATGAAATACTTTGCTTTGTCAGAACTTCATATCAATTTACAGCCATATGTGTGCATGAAAATCTCCAAAGCATCTTAAATGTGACTTGGAAAGATTTTCTTTAAATGTTTTTGTGCCCTTCGTTGCCTCTTCCTCACTCTTTCTCACTTTTTCCCTATTTTTTTTTTTTAACTGTCTTATGTAAGGAAAGCCTGAAAGGTTTTATTGATGACTGGTTTTTAAGGAATAGGAAGATGTTCTGGTTATTCCTGACTAGGAAATATCAAGTCAGTTCTTGTTTTTTATTCTGTTGAAGATATCAGAAGTGTAAATTTATTTGTGATGGAAGCTGCATTGCTGTATCTGAGCCTATTAAAAACACCGTGGGTGAAATCTCTCTGGAGATCAGAGGTTTATTAGATTTCATCTTGGGATCTGCAGTTTGCAAATGTACTTATTTTAGGTTGTCACCGTAGAAAAGCACTGATTTGGGATAGTTTGTGAACTCATTTTTTAGCCCATGGGCAATAAGATACCATCCTGTATATACTTCAGGTTTCTCTACCTGAAAAATTATGTTTTGCTTTGTAAAATGTTATTGCAATAAATTGATAAAAGAGTAGAAAATGTAGATCTACACACTCAAATGACAGTTCTGAAAACAGATTATTCATTTTTACTGAATATTTAAAAGGAAAAATATTTAAAAGGAAAAAAGGTTTGAAAAATTTGAAACAGCTTGGTTTATTTAGTTCAGGACAGAAAAGAATGAAAAGACCCTAATAATAATATAAAGTATTTAGCAGTTAAAAAAATGAAAAGGACAGACAGTAATTGATTGTTTTCGATGTCTACTAGATTTAGATTAAGACTGAGATACTCAATTTTCTCTGGACATGAAAGTAGCTGCAGATGCAGGAATGAGCTTTAATATTTAGGTTGCAATTATTGCTAAGTAGATAAGAGCAAGGGTCACATGACTCCTGCCATATAGCTCATTACTCAGCTGAGGCTGTTATTTGAATAGCTACAGAACTTGATTTGGAATCCGGCTGTTGGAAGGAGATTGGAGGTCCCTGAATGTCACGACTCCCTTTTGCCCTTATTGCAGACTGTTACTCAGCCAGTGCCCTCAAGTCTTCTGCCCAATAAAATAAACTGGCAAGATTTTCTCCAAAGGTTTATGGTAGATGCTAAGAAAAGATGTTAGACTATAAGCATAGCTGATTTCTGCATTAGTTACCTAGACAGGTCTTTAACCCTGTCACTGGAGAGATTTAGAAAACACATGAGATGTCCGTCACAAATAGCCTAGATGTATTTTATCTAGTCTTGGTAAAGGTAAACGGGGGTTGCCAAACTCTGCAGGTTGCCTGAAAAAAAAATTCTAAGAATTATTTAAAAAATGCTTCTGCACATTCAAAATATTCTTTCTGTCCTAAACTTGTGTTACTCAAATGGTTTTGGCTCTGATTTCCTCTGATGGCAGGGTGGACCCTTGAATGAATTCAGCTGAATGTTCTCTCTGTGGGAGAGAACGTGTAAACATGCGACTATATTATCCTCTGTACTGAAGGGCAGCACTGTGATGGGAGTTGCATCTGCAGTCATGATATTTGCAAAATGGAACACTTGTGTGAGGATTTGGGAATGAGAAGCTTCAGAAATGTCTGTACCAAGCATGTATGCCAGCAGGATATGGGAAGTGTCTCTTCATATATTCTGTATGTGCTCATTTCAGTGCTTGTATCTGAAACAGTATAGCATTTCTTCTTTCTTCAGCATTTTCTCAGCTCTCTTCTCTCTTCCCTACTAAGTAATTTAAAAATTATATGTGATAGTTAACAACGTACTTCCTATTTTCTCAGTTAGAAAGTGCAAGCAATGTTTAATTGTTGTCTTCTAGGGCAGATTGGAAGGTGGGAAAAAGGTATCTAGGAATGTTTTTACACATGTTTAAGTTATCAGTGGAAGGGTATAGACTGGATAGTTCTAAAACTTGATTGTGAATTGTAGTTCTGCATACATACAAGGTATTCTAAGATCATAAAATATAGGCGGTCGTTTGTAGCTATTTTGTATTTTTTTTACAGAGCTCACTTATGTCAGCTACTGACTGTAGCTCCGCCATAACGCAAATGTTGTGCTGATATTACATGAAGAGCTAGTCATGGAGAATGGAATACTTTAAAGTGGCTACATCAAGATTTCGTTATCTCAAACACACAGCCTTAAATAGTGGCTTCAGAATATACATACACAAAATATAAATAAACTTACATTCTTCTATGTAAAGTCTTAATGTATATTCCAAAGAATATATATATATTTACATTTTTAAAAAATGAAGTGAAAAAGAAAAAAAAAAAAAAAGCAGTAATTACAATTAAATCAATCCTCTTTAGATTCCAGGCCTTTTAACAGAAGTGATGGCTTTATTTTCAAAAAACCAAAGATAGAAGTAACTCAAGCCAAGGAACTATCAAATGGTTCTTTTTCCTCAGGAGTCCCGTGCTGTCTGACCGGGGCCAAATGTTCTCTGTGGTATTTAGCAGTAATTGCAGCATAGGCACAACCATAAACAGCAGCTGCCAACATCATTAGACACACGATTCCACAGACAACTCCAGTTATTACTACAGTGGCAATTGCATGACGCAAACTAACAGGCCTTGGCTTTGGTTTGGGTTCACAGTTTGAACGGCTGTTTTCCCCGTGTTCATTGTGATGAGCATGCTTCAGAGAACTTCTGTGCTCAGAGCTATAGTGGTGAATGCTGGCCAGATGAACATGAGCTGTCGTCAGAGGGCATGCCCCAAACAGCTCGTAGGGAACTTTGAGGAGGTCCTTTCCCTTACGAATCCCTGGGGTTGAGCAGATAATGCCATCACTTATTCCTCCTGGAAAAAAAAATTAAAATATTTACAGTCTGGAGATTTGGTGGGTTCTGAATTATCTTAATGTAAAATTAACAGAATCCTGAACTAAATTTATCCTCAGCTTTGACTTTATGCTTTTAAAGATTTCTATTTCTAAGATCATTCTCAAGTTAGATCAGTGGTGAGATTATTACACTTTAACAGTCAAATAGAGAACTTGCAAGAAGCAATCAATCAAGAACTGTTATATATGACTTTATGGGTGTAAAAATAAAAAACAGTAGTATAAAAGTATAAGTTATAGATAAAAGCAAAGAGGTATTGTTAACAGCAAATTCATTCCATTCAAATTCATACCATTGCTGCTTTTTATAAAGCAAAATGGAAACAATATTCTTAGTAAAGTTTTCCCTCTTGATTGAAATATTCCATGAAACAGTCATTGTTCTGACATCATATGCTAACTGTAATGAAGTAAAGAGAAAGTTCAGTAAATTGTATGTATGTATGAGCAACTGTTTGAAGCAAGGCCCATGGTAAGAAAATAGACAGAGATCTAAAGGAGTTAAGATTAATCAATCTATTACTCTACTCGAATGGAAAATTTCATGATTGCTTAGAGCCAGCTTCTGCTCTCTCCCAAAGGATGTTTTTAGTATGACAGGGAGTGAAGTAGGAAGCCTCAGTCCTGGTAAATCATACAGTTGTTCTTCAGCGTGTAGAGGAACACATACTGAGTATAGCCTTCAGGTTTCTAGTTAGCCAATACACCACTGCTTTAGGGGTGTAGTGTGTCGAGCAGTCAACAAGGCCAAAACCAATGTTTACATATTTTTAAACATTAACAAAGAAAATTAGCTCAATTTTCTTCCTCTGGTCCGTTCAAAATTATTCACCTTTCAGCTAAAGACAGGCATAGAAATTTTCATCCTGAAAAGAGTATGTCTGAAAAAGCAGTGAATACAGATGGACCCAAACTGACATCTGGAGACTACTCCACAAATATTATTGATATTCCGAGATAGGTATGAGCATAGCGTTGTCTCTCGGTCTTTAATAGCCAAACCCAAAGTGTGGTTCCAGACACCTCCAGTGTGTCAGTTTGAGTGTGGATACAGATAAAACTCCAAATACTGCAGCTGTGATATTTGTTTGATTTTAAGTAACTAAACATCTGTGCTTGGAGTAGAAGACTCGAGTCCCACCTGAACTGAAGCATTCGCTATGCTTACAAGTATGCGTCAACTGTCAATTGCCTGAGCTGGATTCAGCTAAAAATACTGAAATCTTTTAGAGTTTTACTGGACACAACAATCAATACTTTTAAATTCAATGTTCCGTCTCTAGCAATGTTTTGATAGGACTTGCAAGAAATGTCTTTAGAGCCACAGTACTATTTTATCATGTGTGCAATATAAGTAATGGAAAAGATTAATGTGCAGCGTGTCTAATTTTTCTTCATGTGATTCACACAAGTAATTTTAGGGAAATATAAACATAGAAGAGAACATAGTATTTGGGCTTCCTTTAAAACTTGTTGCTAAAATGAATTTGTAAATCCCATATCACTTCGTTTAAGTTATCTGTGCAATGTTCAGAAAGATGGAAGGGCATCACTGAGTTTCCAGTGTTGTTTTTTTGAAATAAATTACAATACTTATGCTGCTGGCAGAGTAATTAAGATAATCTGCTATGTTTATCTTGGATCATTACGTTCTTCTGCACAGAGAAGTCAGAACCCCTGCTGAAACTTGTTGTAGGGAATGGTTCAGCATGATACAACTAAAGCCCTGGGATATTATGATATTTTAAAAACCCAAAATATTAAGATTTTAACCTTGAGAGGAGTTTAGCCCTTTGTCTTTTCTAAAAGGTTGCTTCTGGCAGTGGCTTTATCTCACCCAGAGACTATTCCTGTGTTAATTTTGTCCCTGCATAGACAGTACAGTTGTCCACCTGGCCCGTAGGGTTCTGGTGCCTGGAAATGTCAGTCCATTCAGTCACAGGCAGTATGGGCCATCTTCACATCCACTGTGTTGCAACATGCTCTGTGTCACTTCCATATACAGATAGCTCATCTGTAGTTTGATCACATGCCATCATCAGAGTCTGATTTAGAGAAAAGCAAATTACCTGCTGTTCTGAATTCTCAGTCTGAACATACCTCCTGGGAGAAAGAAATTAATTTCTTTTAATACTTATTTCCTTTAGAATTAAATCATATTCCCTTTTCTACAGCATAACTCATGAATAAATTTAAAAGCCGGTGTGACCAAAATGTGAGACTACTTTTATTTATAAAATTCATTTTTCTCCATGTGATGGCATTACACATTTCTGACAGGAAATGTCAATTAATTTAGTACTTGCTCTGGTTAACAACAAATTTGGAAGTAATACAAGAATAAACTTGTCCGAGGTATAACATATTTTTTTAGGTAAATTAATCCTAAAATATTAAAGAGCTACTAAGTGATACTTTATAGAGGTATTAGAATCCTGAGTTCTCTAAAGTTAAATCAGTATTGATATCTGTCCTGATATTTACCCTCCTGGATCAGGCAAAAAAATATTAAACAGTAGGTTGGTTTCTAGCAAAAATAGATTGGTAAAATTAAATCAAGTGTACGTGCACAAGTATGCCTGTTACATATCTACAGATATATATGCACGCACACATTGCACATACATATTTCCAGAATGTATCGGTACATCCAGTATGATCGTGTGTGTATACTTTCTCTCTGTTTTAATATGTCCTATATGATTCTAGTTTCTCACATGTATTTATGAAAGCACCTATATTCTGACCTATGTATAAAAATATGTTTTAGTGTGCCAATCCAGGGGATGATCTAAGGTGTGGGGTAAATTGCAAGCCATAATAGTGGAGATCAATTAGATGCTGGTTAAGTATCCTCATGTGAATTGTATATAGTGAGAAGAATTCCGTACCTCTGTATAAAAAGCTCTCCAACCACAGTTTCAGGCCAAAGACATTACAATTACATTGCCAGGGATTATCTTTGAAAAGAACCACTTTCAGATTTGGAAGTGACTCCAGCAGAACTCTTTCCATTTTCTGAAGTTTGTTATGCTTCACAGACAGCAATGTTATATTCCCTGTGCTATTTCCAAAAGTCTCAGGCAAACGAATAATGCTGTTGGATGACAAGTCCAGTTCTTTTAAGTGTGGGAGGAAACTGAAAGTCTTGTTTTCTATATAATGAATCAAATTTCTGGTTAGGTTTAGAACCTGTAGATATCGTAATTTTTGGAAAGAACCTGGTGCCAAACTGGAGAGAGAATTATTAGACAGGTCTAAGATTTTGAGCAACGGTGTTCCAGTGAATGCATTTTGGTTGATTCTCCAAATACGGTTATTCTGCAATTGTAGTATCTGAATTTCAGGAGGTAGGCGGGCGGGAATTTCAGTAAACCCTCTATTCTTGCAGTCTGCAGTCTTTGAAGCTGTATAGCACTTGCATTTGTCAGGACATCCATGAGCTCCATATATTAACAAGATGAAACTCAAAACCAAAAGGCTGTTACCTGTATCAGAAGTGGAGAAAGATTTAAAATTAGTTTGTTTGTCTTTTGGCAATATGCAGGTCATTAACATGGGTAAAGGCTATACAGCTCCATAATAAACATTTATGTAGATAGCATAAAGAGAGGCAATTTCTTTTGCAAGACATTAGTGAATTACAGATAGTATTGAAGTACTTTAATAATGCAGAATGAAGGTAGTGCTTCCATGGTCATAAAATAAAGTACTTCCCATGGCTTTATCTTAAGTACAACTGGTTTTCAGAAGTATTTACCATCAGCAGAGCAGTGATGTTTGAAGGGAATGCGACAGAGTTTCTAAAATGATTAAATTGAAATGTTTCTCTTTCTGTGGTAGTAACAACTCTGAGCCATCTTATGCCAGAAGTACTGCAAGGAGAACTTATATTTCTCTGTGTTTTTACTAATTTTACTACCTAAAAAGAATTAAGTTAATGTGCCATCTAAAGAATAACAAGCTTTGCAGACCTTGCTATAAAACCAGTTAACAGTACTTGTTCAGCAATGCCGATACTGTAAATCTGTTCTTTAACACATCTATGTTTATACTTAGTGCTTTAATCCCTTATCTGAATGTCAGCAGTACTTCCCATAGATACATTTTTTACACAGTCAACAACTTTTGTCAATAAGCTGTTTGAAAGATAAATGAGTTGACAAGAGTACTTAGTAATATTTGGTATTTATAATGATCTTCTGCTCCCTGATGTTCAGGTCAGTTTTAACTGAAAAAATAATAGGTTTTACCTTTCATATCTTGCTAATGACCTTACTTATAAAACAAGGTGCCACTTAAAGTTATGTTCACATGCACCGCATGAAATTAAATAAATGATCAGATGATCTTGAATAATTAGATTGACTAAAGAAAGTCAGAATGAGAAATCCTTTTGAAACACTGTTTTTGAAATGCCTCAAATAATTGTTACTGTTTACTATTTCAAAACGAAAAACATTTTGGTTACTAGTTGAACCTTTTAGAAATTAAAGAACACACTGCATATTGACTTACGGACATCAAACATTAATTAGTAACAGGGAGTACCATATTAAAGGAATATCTGTATGATTATAACATTGAATATGACAAATGTATAAATGACAGTTTTATTTTGAGACTACGGTTTGTCACAAACTGCTCATTAATTTTCACTCAAAAATGAAATTGTGTTTGTATTAAAACTATATATAATCTTCTGTAATACTGAATCCTACATTGTAGAATTCACTTGAAAGAATTCAACATTCTTGCAAGCAAGGTAAACAATATTTTCAGTTCATTATATTTTTTCTGCAACAGTTGGCTTCAGAAACTGAGACACAGCTTCCAATGTAGAGTTAAAATAAAAAACTGCTTGTCAAAGAAATTCTCAGAGAACAGAAAAAATTTCATTATTAATATTTTTCAATATCTCACCTTTCATTCTGCTTTGCTTATTCTTCACCTTGCAGAAGATCTAGTCCAGTTTTCTGATGTAGAACAGTAGCAAACACTTTGTTCTGATTCCCACTTCCATCTGTAATGTGCTCATCCAGTTTCCTTCCTGTGGGTTGTTAGCTGGGATTTTTTTTTTTTTAATGGTATCTGTGGCTTGTGTAGAAGTGCAACGATTTCTAGTGAGTTACTCCATCAGCCTTTGATTTTTTCATCACGATCTTTCTTCCCCTTCCCCACACTCCCTCCACCCCACCCTACCCCATTCTGGCCTTTTATGACTGTCAGAGACTTTACTCTGCCTCTTAATCAGTCAACAGGCCATGCAAAGGGTTTCTGTCAACTCTAACTGGACAGCTGTAACATACCAATAATGACCTGAGAGCCTTGCCTTTTCAATTTATTTAATCTGCCTTAAATGCAATGCACAAAAGTAAAGCTGGCTTTTTAAATCCAGTATAGTTTCTGAATTCTGGTGGATTATTAGCTACGCTGTGTCGAGTTTTGCAAGATCACATGACTCTGAACATGGATTCTGATTATCCTGGGCTGTGACTGGAGGCAGTGGAGTGTGTAATATCACTACGAACAGCCTGTGGGTTGATGGTTTTGACAGTGCACTTGTTTGTCTTCTAAGCTTATGCATCTGACATCCATTAGTTGTGCTGACAGGATTTTCTTGCATAGGAACACAGGACTGGTGGCTCCCTCCATAAAAATGGCATAAATACTGGTATGGTCCCCAAGAATACCAAGCAAATTTATTTACTTTCAAAGATATTGGAAAGAAATAACAGATGATATTAAAATTGTTCTTCTTGTGTTACTTCTTCAGTATAAGTCATTCATACTGTACCATCTACTACAATAAAAAGATTAATGACTTGTGACTATGAAGGAACTCAAAGCTGTTTGAAGGAATGATAGATCTGGTATATAATAGAGTCTTTCAAGGCTATATGACTACTCCATAGGTGTCCTATAGAGAGGGAAGTTGTGCAATCAAAACCTCTCAGACCTGTTCTTATATGTCCTGTAGCTTTCTTGGGTTCAAATTCTGCTTTTAGGTGCTGTTAAAATGATCACACAAAGCTCACTTTCTAGGGCAAAATTTATATGCCATAGGCAATGCTGTGGAAGGAAGCATTGAAAGTGAGATTATCAGGTCCAAACTGCTCTTGAAATCAGGGTTTTACAAGAGATTTTCCAGGGTTCTGTCAAGCTGAGATTTGGATGTTTTGAGTAAGGGAGATTCCATCACTTCTTTGGACAATCTACTCTAATGTGTAACTGTTCTCAGCATTAATAATTTTGTCTTGCATCGAGACAGACTTTTCCTTGAGGCAACTTGTGTCCATCATCTCTTGTCCTGTTACCATGCATCCTTGTGAAGAAAGTAATACCATCTTCTCCACAGCTACCTTTTGGTTACTGAAAGTCTGTGTTGAGATCTCTGCCACCCTGACCCACAGGAGAGAGCTGTAACTGTTATTGTTGTATGTTCTGCTGAATAGTTTCTGACATCAGTCAAGATACCCAGAGGAACAGTGTATACTGCGGAGCAGTGAAGGAGAACATAGAACTGACATTCTGTAAACATGACTGTTCACCTCAAGGATACTAGGATTATTGCTCAGAATGGCAGACCGTACTGTCCTTGACACTCCTGATGAATGACACAGCATCCTGTTACAGAATGAAAGTCTGTGATTTAATGTAGTGTCTGCAGTTTACTGTAGATGTAGACTACCTGTCACCGTAGTCATACTAAATAACTCCAACTTTACAAAGGGAGAGGAAGATAAGCTTAAAGATCAGCTATAATGTACTTTCAATGAATATCAGGTTAAAGTGGACAGCTTCTCTAACCTTTGTTGCACAGTACATTTATTTGCTATTCCCTTTCCCAACCCTTGTGCGTGAACACATGTACAAACATATAACGAGACCAATCTTAAGTAGTACTGGTGAATCTCATTTTATCGAAGACAGAACTAAATGTAAAAAGAGATATTATAAAACATTATCATCCTTAGAAGTTGTAGCCTTGCTAGCTGCAGATACTCTGCTCATTCAGAGAGCAAATTTAGGTCGGGTACTTGTTGCTTGACATGACATCCCTCTTTCCTTGCAATAACTCATCCCTTGTATCAACGATAGCCCTTTTCATGACTTTTGATTGTATTGCAGAAGGTACTAGCTATTATGTTATTGGGTTTTGGTACGATAAGACATTTTTACCCTTTTCAATTCTCTTTGGTATCTAAAATTTTATTTTGGCTCATGAATTCGAAGGGTTTAATTTTAAGTCATCTCCTTAATTAATGTTTGCTGACCAGGTGGGCTTACAATCTTCCACAGTAGTTTCTTTCATCTAACTCTTACTCTTACTTTAGGTACGGCTTTGCTACTATAATTGTATTATTTTTAGCATGCACCATATTAAAGAGATGTTCATAGGACAAGGTCACTGAAAGTTAAGCACTGTGGGAGGTTCAGTTCCAACAATAATGCAGAGGTTGGTTTATGTACTCTGAATTATAGTATAAGAAGTTATTACTTTTTTTTTTTTTTTTTTTTTTTTTTTTAAAAAAAAAAATCTTCATGCCGAGTTCAGATTTGGAAACATATCATTAAATCTGTTGATTTGCTTTTCATGTAGCTGTGGCTATTTTTTTTTCTTATATTGAGAACTCTGAATGCACATGTTTTGTAAACAGAAGTTTCCCTAACCTATAATCCATGTCCTATTCCCATTTATTAGTAATAATACTTTGGTTATGACAGAGAAGTCTGATGTGGTGAAAATTATAGTTGTGACACAGGTAGAGATTTGCCAGAAACAGAATAACCATGAAATCTACTCTACTTTTGGCCTTTTGAACAACCAGCAGGATACTTTTCAGTTGTCTGATGTGGTGCAGCAACTGTGTTATTGTGACTGCTTAAATTAACTTGTGCCTTCTTGTAACAAGATATGTTTCCCATCGCAAGTAGCAAGACAGCCCAGTGAACTAATATCCTATTCCTGTTGGCTGGCAGGGGCAGTTCAGTGTTTTCTCTGCCAGCAAACACTTTGTTGCAGCAGTTACTATCATCTGCTTTAAAGGAGTAGTATGTGTAAGAATCATACCTTTTACAGAAGAACATTATGTTAAACTAGCAGAAAGGAAAAAAAATTAATATTTCAAAATATTTACAAGCTACAGCATTCAGATTCCACTGCATTGTGTATCAACTCCAGGCAGACATGATTATATAAAAAAATGTTCCTAAGCCTACAGGAGACATCCTGTTTATTAGATTTATTTTCCTTATGCTTTTGAGTGGAGGTATTAAAACTGCGACACACACAGGGAAATGGCATTCTCCTTACTAATGTGTGTTTCCAGTGTTGGTAAAACAGCTAAGCTCTTGCTGAAGACCCTAAATGCAACCCTGAACAATGCAGACTACTCTTCATTTCGGTTCAGGAGAAAAAATAATAATTCATATTTGTGAGTGAAACAGCCCATGTCTCTGTTGTTAAAAGTTTCACTCTTTAATTGGCACTTAAAAAAAAAAAAAAAAAAAAAAAAAAAAAGATCTTATCCTTTCCCAGCTATGAGTCAGAACCCTGTGCAAACAAAGAAGACAGGACATAAGAAACCTTTGAATCTCTTACGCTTTTCTTTCTACAAAGACCTATCTTTCACAAGAGAAGTATAAGCCAGTGGATCGAACCAAATTTGGCTTGAGAAAGATTTATACCTTGAAAAGTTAACCATATTTTCCAGAAGAGGTGGGTGCATGGATTTCTTCAGAGATCTTATTGCTTAGGTAGGATAAGGGGAGAGTAATATCAACTTGTTTAATAACATTGAATCTTGGTTATCATACAGCGTAAGGAGACCTCAAGATGTCTAGAAAGTTGTTTGTGTCTGTCCTTGACAGTTATGAATTTTTGGTGGTATGCCTTTCAGGTGAGAAGCAACGGTTTGTAACTAGAAATAATGAATCAGGCAGTTGTGATTTTGTATTTTAGATCCTGACTTTGAGAGGAAGAGTCCAGTTTTCTTCTTTTCAGTGACTTGTTTTGCCTTACTTATATACATCTGGTACTTGTTTATACAATGCATAATTAATCTATGAAACGCATTGCTGGAAGTTATCCTTGGGCCAAAAGATTAGTAGGATTCATATATAATCTGGAGCCATAGTTACCTCATGGGGCAAAAAATCATTTAGAAGGGATATAAACTTTCACTCTTAAGAGCTTTAATCAACCACTAATGACATGAGTTATGGAGGAAAAACCTTTCCCTGTGGGCAGGGCTTTTTTCCATAATTATTATTTATGGGAATTTTTACACCTTCCTCTGACACCTCTAGAAGAGGCCAGTGTATGAGATGTAATAGTGGACTAGATGAACTGGAACATACTGCATTCCAGGTGGAAATTCACAGTGGGGGAAGGGATAGCTGGGCAGACCTCCAGTCTGTTAGTTGCAGCAAGCTGCAAACTGGTGAGGTGTGTGCTGCTGTGTCAGGTGATATCACTGAGGCCGCCTGTCTGAGCACCTTCTCAGTTCAGGCCAGAACTCTACTCATCCCCAGACCGCTTGAACTGGGAAATTCTTTTCACATTCATATCCAGGTCTTTGCTGGTAATCTATAGACAGCTGTTTGGGTCAGTCCTTTGTCTGCAGGTTTTTTCATTTTTTTGTTCCACTGAAGTGATGTGAGACTTTCATTCCATTAGCTAGATCAGTCAGTAATTTGTTGTGATAGGTATTCTAATATAGTGTAGTTAGGAGTTGGTTTGGCTTGCACTCCTTTACACATAACTAAATGCGCAGAAATATATGAAGGTGAGAAGGATTTACTTGAAAAATACTCAAGCATCAGGCTTACAATATGCTTCAGTAGGTAGAAAATTTAGTAGAAGTGATGCAAAGCCTTCAGAATTAGTAGAAGCACAGGCAATAAAGATGCTAGGCTTCTTTACCTTAATTGCGAGTTAGAAGAAGTTGCAGCAAGGGACAAATTATTTGTCAGCAGAATATTTGTTCCATCACAAATAGCGATGGGGAGTGCAGATTCAATTATGAATCATTTTCATGTCTAATGACAACCACCTGTTATACATGCTGAGCATCCATAGATAAAATGTATGATTAGAGTTAATTAATGAATTAATTTTGCTCTTACTGTAAATAGAAAAATATATTGCTTGACATAAAGCTAAAAGAAATGAGGGGAATAAAAACAGGAGCTAGAAAAATGCATGTAAATATAAGGACAGGTGTACATTTTATTTTATCTCAGCATTTTAGATGCTTTTTGTCTGCTCTTAAACATGTAAAATTGAGATCACTCACTGTTGTTCTAGACTGCTTAATCATTCTACACCAAATATAAAGTTATTTTCTAAGCTTTTACTTAGTGTTTTTGTTTTCTTATTTTTACATTTAACAAGAACTTCTAGTCATGGTCATAGGCCACCCTGG